ATCTTTTATTTTTTTATACCCACTCCTGTAATAGCCCAATGGGCTGACAGTATCAATAAATGAATGAATGAATGATAAGGGCCCAATAGTCCGTAACAGGTCAAGGACGAACTGGAAGCTTCTCGAACCTCTTTCCACCCTACAGAGCGAACGCTGGAGAGGAGGTAGCCTCCTCTCCAGCCTTCCTGCTCAAGTGGAAATAGGTGGGAGTAGGGAGCCTTCATGTGCGCTTTGCTAGGGTGATGCCATCCTTTGTAATACCGCTCGCCGACAAACCAGCAGCCATTTTGTTCCTTAGCGATAATCCGTGGGGCTTATAACCCTCCCGGAAACAAGCACCTTATCTCAGAAGTTTGGAGCAGCGTTGTGGAACCCACGGAGGGAGCATTAGCATTTTCCCCCTCGGATGGGATTACTGATGGACACAAAGGCCACTTTCCGGCGCACGGGGAAACAATGAGAGGAACAAAATGGCGGTGGACGAGGGTGTGGGAAAGGGAAACAGGCAGTTGGCATCACCCTATGCGAAGCGCACATGAAGGCACCCTAGGTGGGAGGAGCTTCCACTTCACGACTCACGAGTTTAGGCAGCAAAAAAAGAAGCATGGTCCTGCCAAACTCGCCTACGATTTCCTCGACTTCGCCCACAAACAAAGCCCAACTAGGCGTGCCTTGCTGACTCAGAACAGGATGCCCCCGACCTTTTCTTCGAAGTCGGCCTTTCCCGCATGAATAGCTGACCTTGTTTTCGGGATAGAGGGCCAGTTTTCCCCCCTCGTTGTTGTTCGCTCTTATCATTTTCAAAGTTGTGAGCGGTGGGGTGGACCGTGGTGCGGGTAGGGAGCCTTCATGTGCGCTTTGCGCACATGAAGGCTCCCTAGGTGCGGGGACATCAAGAAGGTAGGAGAAGCTCCTCCCAGAAGTGTGATGCGACCGTTTCAAATCTCTCCGCAGTCGAAAGAAGAGTTCACTGGAAACGCTCCTTGTTCCGCTTCAATGGATTTCCACTTGTCTTCGATCCCATTTTTTAAGAAAGCGACCTTTGTATTCATCGGAGAGGGAACCGAGCCCCTGAAAGCAGCCTTTGTATCCATAGGGGGAAGCTAATCCCCCAAAGTCGTATTTGTTTCCGTCGGTGGGGGAGAACTCTAATCTCCCTATCGTGGCTTCCACAATGCTAAGTCAAAGTCGAAAGATAAAACAAATATGTACAGAAAGGCAAGACCCTCCTCGCGCGTTGTCCGCGACGTCACCGAAACGGTGGGACGCTATTGGATGCAAAGGTGGCGGAGGGATATCTGATTCCCCTTGAGGGGCATTTGCCGCTACGTTCTTAACCTGTAACTGACTATAGCCGCCGGTCGTGGCTTCGTTGGTGGCGGACTCTCCTCTCGTCACTCGTCGTCGATCGAGTCTACTGTTTGTTTGACATTAAGCTCAAATAAACGCCGTATGGATTACATCTGCATTGTCTGGTACGTACACTTTATTTCTTGAGTAGGTTCCCTTTATTTATTTTATTAGTAGTAAACGTTACAGGTCGAGCTAGCGCAGGTACCCCCTCCGCGGTAGCTCACGACGTCTCTATCGGCCTTCGTGGTAGTCATGCACGGTGTCGAAAGCTTTCAATAGTTCACGCGACTATCTTAGTGGGTAGAAAGGCTGACATTTCGGTCGATCAGGGGCGGGTTCCGACGTTCTACAGGCAGAGATTAACAAGGCAGCGAGCTTGGGCTGTGCACGCGGAATAATAAACAAACTCTTACCGGAACCAAATCACCGGTGCGAAGCCCGTTAAAATTACGAGTCAATTCTTTTCACGGCGGATTCAAGTGACGGACGTGAACATCAAGTTTCTCCGTTGATTTGTCGAAAGCTAAGACTACAGCGCTAGGACTACACCACCTTGTACGCCTCACCACCGACAGGTGCCATCTTGTTTCGAAAGTCACTTACGTCACGTCAGCGTCCCGTTGTGATTGGTTGCCGTAGGGTGCCTTCATGCGCGCTTCGCATAGGGTGATGCCAACTGCCTGTTTCCCTTTCGCACACCCTCGTCCACCGCCATTTTGTTCCTCTCATTGTTTCCCCGTGCGCCGGAAAGTGGCCTTTGTGTCCATCGGTAATCCCATCCAAGGGGGAAAATGCTAATCCTCCCTCCGTGGGTTCCACAACGCTGCTCCGAACTTCTGAGATAAGGTGCTTGTTTCCGGGAGGGTTATAAGCCCCACGAATTATCGCCAAGGAACAAAATGGCTGCTGGTTTGTCGGCGAGCGGTATTACAAAGGATGGCATCACCCTAGCAAAGCGCACATGAAGGCTCCCTAGGTTGCCGCTTTGCGGTTCGTGAAAGCGGTTGGGAGAAATCGGTCCCGAAGCGGTTGGCAAAAACGCGCTCCAACCGCTCAATCCTGGCCGCTTTGCGGTTAAGAACGCGCGGATCCGCTTCGCGAACGCGGATCCGCTTCCAGTGCGAACGCGCCATCAGAACGCTCCCTGGCACTCCGCCTGTTTCCGTCGGAGTACGGAGCGGCGTCGGCGTCACGTGGTACTTGGACGGGGATCACGTGGTTTTGTTGACGATGGCCGGCAGTGGCCTGCGATGGTGTGCGGGGTACAGCATGACGGCGATTAATATGTGGTTCTACAAAGTGCTTGTGAATTCGGTGGTGCGAGGATTACAACGGACGGGACGACATTCGTTTGCGCCCGTAACAGGAAAAGTCGACGTGTGAAGTATTCCCATTCCCAGTGTTTTCAAGAGATCGTTTATCTCACGGCGGTGAATCAGTTAAGCCTAACCGACAAAGAAGCAGCCCGTAGAGCTCGCTGCTGTGTTTTGTGGTCGATCAAGAAATTTTCAGGGTCTGAAAAAGTGCGTTCACAGGTTTGTGCTGTAAAATAAAGGTAGAGCCGAAGATAATGCATTGTGAATTATGTCACATGGTGATGTGTGCTATATCCTGCTTGCACGATATTTCGCCTTAAAAAATGTGGTTTATTAACCGTTTTATATTTGCCCGCTCTGTCGTACGCATGACCGCTATCGCAGCGCGTTCACTGTCGAAAACGCGATGAGTTGACAACTTTTTACAGGCATTGGTTTTTGTCTCTTTTCTTTTACTGCTGTTTTCTGTTTTTTACATGCCGATGCGTAAAACAATTTACGTCACAACCCTTATTTCATCACGTTGCGAGCGTAAATTTTGCTCAATCGTCCACCGTACGCTGTAAGATCGTGTTGTTTTTAATGCATTACTAATCTCAAGAAATTTTAATTCTGTGACTTGTTTGAGAATGTCAAAGCGCTCTGAACCTGCCTTAACCCAGCAGTTGTGATCGGTTGAAAAGGTTCCCGAGTAGCTCTGTCGGCGAGGAGGGGGCGCTCTGCTGTATCGAGGTCAGAGCAGAAAGGCGACCACCAGAATTCACCAAAAGAAACCGTCTTCCCTCTCTGCTCGGTCACAAAAAAGAAAGAGAGGGTACTAGACACATTTACTCTCGAACCGATGTTTCTACAAAAGGTCCATTATGTAAGTCACCTACTGGATGGCAGCCTGGGATAGAGATTGTACTCGAGCGCTGCATCGCCATTAGTCTGAAACTCGCGTTGATCGGACACGAGTCCCGGCAGAACACTCAGGCAGCACCCGTGGACAATCAGTGGCTCTCGCTGGCCTCCAGTAGGTGGGAAACCAAATCCAGGAGTGCGACCGTGTTCTCTTTGAGATTTTGATTTAGAGCGTGTTCTGTTTTTGTTTCGCTGTGCATTCGCAAATGATAAAAAAAAAAGCTTAGGCGAGCGCGTGGCTTACACGGCCTCCCGCGCTATCTATCAGAAGAAAGCCCAACCATTATCCAGTCCTCAGCGGCTGTTCAGATTTTGTCGTCACTCCCAGATTGACCAGCTGTCGCTGAACTGATGCTGAATTATCTGAATATAGAGGCGTTCCGCGACCAAAGGTAGAATCAAGTGTGGCTACTGGATCGGCAGATTGAGCGATCAGTTTTCGGGCGTCATTTTTTAATAAGTTTGATGGATATATGGAGATAAGCACTTTTATTTGATTTATCCCAGCACTACTGTCGGTGGTGCGTCAGCAGTCGTTAGGCGACCAAGCGGGAGGTACTGACGAAATTCAAACAGTCGCTAAAATGCTGCTTGTTAACACAATTGCCTCGATGATAAACCAGCTTTCTTGAATCCACGCCCACCATCATAAAAAAAACAAACAACGAAACTTAGAAAGCACAACCAACTTTAGATTAAACACACATCTTCTGGAGTGCTCTGCATCTAACTCAATCAGGCCACACCTCCTGGTAAGAACACCACGCTTTCTAACCGTGATGCACAAAAAAGGCTGCGAGGTTGACCCAGCACTGCCCACTCCTATCTCCACCAGAGTCTCTACTAACAAAGGAACAAGCAAACCAAGTAATTTTTACTACAAATATATCATATCGCTTGATACACAACGCAAAAACTGAGCTGCATGATGGCCCAGCACAGTGTGTCGGTTTTTTTTTTATCCTCTTCTTTCTACCACTGTAAAAATTGTTTCTTCCTTCTGTTCCAGTTTCGGGTTCAAGTCATTATGAAAGAGTTGGCCCCGAAGTTCACTAGGCGCGGTCCTAGAACTTTTATGACGTTCTAGTTCGTTTGCTTCTTGCGCACCTCGTGCGTTTGTTGCTCCCGACCTCAACCAATGACGGCGCGAGCTTTTGCTGCCTCGTCACTGCGTGTTCTCTACGCGTTCCCTCCCCGCTTTTCTTCCCCACCCCATACCCCCCGAGAGTCATTGACAAATGCGCCCTATGCGCGTATACTAATGGCCCTCACTTTCCCCCTAATTTCCTTCTGCAACGCCTACACACACGCAATCTACGCGTTCTCACGTGGCCCTCTGATTGGCATGCGCCCCTTTGTGTCTCCGGATACGGCACATACGCCTTTTAGAACACTTGCTCGCCGTAGTAGGTGCCTGAATTTACTTGCCTTCTGTGATTCGCCGAGTTCCCAATGGAAGTGCTGCGTCATCCTGGCCACAGTGTAGGCGAGCTCGACATAAGCAAGCCTGGTTCCCACGCAGTTTCGGGGTCCCATTCCGAAAGGCTGGAAAGCCAACTTCGGGATACGGCCTTCGTTCTCCTCGCTGAACCTGCAACACATGGTAAAATAATTTTCTAGAGATTGCGCGAAACTTCGATGGTCTTGGCGCCGTATGCTTTTGCGTGCTTGGGAGGACTTGACGCGCGTTGTCCCCTTTGAATTGAGACGACGGGTGTCGGGACGGGACGACGGGCGCATACGATATCTCGGTAGTCGGCGTAACCTTTGCGCAGCGCGAGAGCGCAACAGCGTGAACCGCGCGATGCGCCAGCGCTATCTCGAAATCGGGGTGTCCCCACCATTTGAGAAAAATTTGGTGCTCATGTCTTGCCTATTGCAAATGAGCAGAGTAGAATGTGCTGTCCTAGTGAAGTTTTTGATACGGTGGGTAACAAATATCAGACGTTTTTATAAAGGACGAATGAGCAGGGGTTAATACGGTTCCAATTACAGCACGAAGCTTGAGAATTCAAAAGGCCCGAGTTTATGAGTCAAGAGATCCATAGAGTCGTAAAGCTGGAGCACGTACTCCTTTATGGTAAGCCCCGTCGCAACAACCTATTTCTGTTATACCTCTTCCCTCACCTAAGCTAGCGATGTGAAAGCTACGGGCTCGCCGGAACAATCAACCGCCTAATCCTCGACCACCTGCTCTCCGCTCTTTGCGCGTGGTTCTAGGCGGCAGTGTCATCGCGTGGCAGAAGATTGACATGTGACTTCTTCACCGCGCACGCAGCTTCCTCGGCAGTGTCAGCTTAGGGGGGAACGGAGTACAACGAGTGCAGAGCTCGTCGACACACTCCTACAGTCACTGACACTTTAAGAAACGCGGGGCGTGGCCAATCTTGAGCATCTAATTATCACCCCGCAGGCAATGAAATTCCGAAATCATCCGAAAAAAGCGCAAAAATAAAAACCACCTGATAGGATGCGTGAATCGCGAACATCCCCTACATACTGTGGTCAGTCACAAACTCGACGTTTTCCTACTCACCTTGATCAATCACAAAACCAGAAGTTCTCCCACGGATTGTGATCAATCAGATCCCCAACTTCTCTTACGAACCGTGATCAACGAAGATTGGGACCTGGCAGCGTGTTGTGTCTGACTTTTTCTAAAAGAGCCCTATTGTACTGCCGGTTGGAAACTTGCTGTTCGATAAAAAGTTCTGAAGAGCTAATTGGGCTTAAGATTTCGTTCCATTCAAAATTCTGCAAGTTGACCTGCTTAGACATTAGGGATTTCTCCTACTCACTAGGCAAATCAATTCTTCGTAGAGTGCGGCAGTTTGTGGATATTAGTTTGGTACGGTCTCAAAGCGCTTCAGGCATTGACGCTGGCAGTTTTTTTTTTCTTTCCATCTTGAGCTCTACCTAAGGCCGTGGCTTTTGAGGTTAATGGGTGTGTTTTCGAGCAGAAGCGAGGGGTCTGTGTAGGGTCCTCCCTGGCGCCGGTACTGACTAAGATTTATCTGGGAGTGTTGAACCTGGGGAGCCTTCATGTGCGCTTTGCTAGGGTGGTGCCACTCTTCGTAATACCACTCGCCGACAAACCAGCAGACATTTTGGTTCTGGGAGATAATCCGTGGGGCTTATAACCCTCCCGGAAACAAGCACCTTATCTCAGAAGTTTGGAGCAGCGTTGTGGAACCCACGGAGGGAGGATTAGCATTTTCCCCCTCGGATGGGATTACCGATGGACACAAAGGCCACTTTCCGGCGCACGGGAAACGCACGGGGAAACAATGAGGAACAAAATGGCGTCGGGGGAAAGGGAAACAGGCAGTTGGCATCGCTCTATGCGAAGCGCACATGAGGGCACCCTAGTTGAACCGTGTAGGGCAACTCCTAGCAGGGAAATTCGACACAAAAAGAAATTTGTCGTAGTGCGATTAGTGACTGGGACAACTCGTCGCAATACCGGATATGATGTTTGAAGATCTTGTTGCCCGCGTACTATAGCTATGCTAGTGTTGGCTCACTTGTGTTATTCAGCTTTTGTGTAGTGTCTTGTTTACAAAGTTTAGTCTTTCCTTTTAAGTTGATAAACATTTTAATTCACCCCGGAAGCATAAAATATAATACTTTTAGGAGCGCGACAGAGACACCGCAATTGCGCATGAGCGACACGGACAGAATGTAGCTCGTCCACGCGCGCTACATAGAATGAGCATGCGCGACACAGATGGCATATGCGCGACACAGAAATAACGTAACTTGTCCACTTGCGCGACACAAACAGACAGCGTGTTTGCGACACAGACGGCGCATGCGGTACACACTCACAGACTGCGTATGTGCAACACGGAAATGATACAGCTGGTCCACGTGCACGATACAGACACCTACTACGCATGTGCGGGCCAAACGTTTCACGTAGTACCCCTCAATTGACTAGCAATTTGTCATCCATTTTTGCCATTTGTGACTGAGAGAGGAGCCAAGATTCTGGTGGACAATACATATTCAGTCTGTGTCTATTAGAAATTAGTGAAAGTTACAATTTCTTGTGTCGACAAGAAGTATTAAATCAAGGAAGGGTGTCGCTGGTAATTGAACTCGATTGGAAGAACTATGCTTGATAAACATGAGAAATGGTAAAGAAATAAGAAATTGCTGTGAATAGTTTGACGAATTGTCATAGTGACGAACTGCCCTATGACGATTTACTCGTATATGACGAATAGCCCTGCTACCACTTAACGTGTGACGAATTGTGATTCGACGGGCGGTACTACAGCCGCATCCACAATTTGCAGGAAGGGGTTCATTTTCAAATGTTGAGATTAACTTACTCGGGCTGCTGTATGAGCGTTATAGTGAGTGTTGCAAAAGCTATTGTGTCAAACTTAAGAAATCTTTTTTATGGAGCGCAAAAAGCCTGAGCCTTGGGTCTGTTTGCCGTATTTTTATGCATTTTAACACAATTTGGAAGCTTTTGCGGGAAGGCACGGCCTGGAAGATGTTTTATATGACTTTAAACTGAGTCATTTAACCCCCTTTTTCGGGTGGTCAGCGGGGGTGTCAGAAAAAACACAAAGAACCAGCGATGAATTGTGAAAAAGCAGTGGTCAACGACATCCCTAGGGCGTGTGGATTCACGAACCTCAAACTGGTCCGTGTGTGACTGACCACGTACTGGAACATAAAAGGGCGGTGGCGTTAAAAGCGACAGATTCTGAAATGTTGGAACACTTTGATGAATGAACCAATTGTATTCCAGAGTAAACAAATGTAAAAAATACTTGTAAGAAAAAAAAAAGAAGATCCGGTCAAAATTGTGATAGAGTTAACGACTCGTAAGACAAGCGCCGGAAGCTGTATACGTTTTCCCTCAATTCCGTTGGACGCGGAGATGCGGTCTTTTCTTTCTAGTTAGGTTATCAAGGTCAGTAGGGTGCGTCGGGGTAAAGAAAGAGGGTTCTTTTGTAGCTTGTCAACCTGACTGTGCTGTGAGCTCGCGGATGTTGGCGTTAAAAGAGAGGGTTCTTTTTTGACCGATTGGACCTTGTCCACCTAACCGTGTGTGGAATTAACGGTTGTTGGCGTTAACATTGTTGAAGAGTTGTGGCCTATAGTACAGACCAGTGTCTGCTCTGTTCCATGGGTGCCGCCATGTTTGTTTGTGCAAGACGCCATGAAACAGTAGGGGAGCTGCACTTTTTGTCACGCTCAGTTTTTTTAGAAGCCTTCATACATATCGTAGTGAAAAAACGTCAGATATGCATAGTCACGCAGCTCCAAGACCATCACTGATGCCAAGAGTGCTGTAAAAAGCAAATATTGTTTTATGCGCAGCACCTCTCTTCACAAGACCATGGCGTTTGAGATTATTATTTCCCAGTGTTATCGTGGGGGCTAGGATTTCGAAAACTGGTCTTTAAAGGAGACGCGTGAAATTACATTTTACAGCTGAGTTTTGAGAGGGTGTTGTGTTGTGCCGATTGTTGTCCCTAGAGTCCATTTTTTTCACTATGATAAGAAACCATTTCTGCACTTCGTAAGCCGTAGATGACTAGCTTCTTACAGCTTTAAAAAAAGCAAGATGGAGCAACTCCCGAGCATCTTCTTAGCAGTGCACTGCCAAAGAGCTTGTGGAATTACCCGATAAGAATTCCTAAGAACGCATCATAGTGATCATTGCCTGCGTTTCTTAAAATGTCAGTAACCCTAGGCCAATGCATGAGGTAATGCGTTTAGGCAAATCCAAGGTAGTATAAAGCTATTATGAACCAACTTTGAACACAAAATCTATTTTACCAACCGATTTTCATAAAGTTTTGTTACGTTCGGCTGCAACGGCGTGCTGTATAAAAAAACCGACACCGAAAAGCGCTACGCGCGTAGGGGACCGTGTTAAATGACTTCAGGGCCCGGCAGCTTTCAACTCGTCACCTCCAGAATGTGCTCTGCACCAAGTGCTTTGCCGACTGAGCTATCGAGGGCGGGTGGTCGAATCACGCAAAGCGCGAGGGAACGGTGGAGCGCTACACACTTCTCTTTTTTTTCCTTGGAGGGCCTACCACACAATCTGTCCTTACCAGTCTTTGTCAGCTTAACGAAGCTTGTATAATTTTTGTCTTCTTTCTTGAGAATTATCTCCGCTACTTCCGCCAACATTCATACAACGCTGTAGCAGTAAATGAGTACCGCTGTACTTGAATACTGACATTAGGCATGAGTGTTGACATTAAAGTTTACCTGCAATTTTTTCACATTGTTTCGTTTTTTCGAAGTTACCTGAAGCTTGGAGATTGACATAACCATAAATAAACAAACTCGGCTCAATCATTCTGGAAAACATAGATATAGAAAAAGTGCACATGCGCTTGAAGAGTGTTCGCAATGACACCCATAAAATTATCATACGTCGTTATCGACGAATTACAAATACACAGTCGCTATTCTCTTTAACGCGAGACACGTTTTCATTGTCATGATCATCCAAAAGGCTTCCTGTAAGTAATACCTGTCAGGGTCAAACTTCGTGGGATCTGGAAAAAACCTCTCGTCCATGTGGATCACAAATGGTGGAGACATGATGCTTGTGCCGGCCTTGTATTTGATGCCCTGGTACTCGAAGTCTTCCTTTGCCTGCCTCGTGGTAAACCTGTGGATGAGGATGACATTTGCCTATGTTCCAAAGCGTAACGGGCATGCACGTGCGGAAACTCAAGTAGTACAACTCTTTGGGCCAAAATGTGGTCTTTGTCGGCGAATTCTGGCCCAAAGAAAACCCGAAGAAGCGTAGGAAGAAACAAACTTCACATTATTTTAGCTAGAATCTGGGTAGCTTGGTCCTAAAGTGCCAAAAGAGTGCCAAAGTTAGACCCCACGGCTGGTTGCTTCGCTGTCATGTCGCATATTTGGCCTCAATCGCCAAACAAGTTCCAGAGTCAGGCCCCACTTCTGGCTGTTCGGTTTTCAGTTGGCAACTTTAGAACTAAATTGCTAAACAAATGCCAAATTTAGACTTCACTGCCGGTTCTTCGGGTCATACTTGATATCTGGGGAACAAGTCTGGCACTTCGGCGATTAAATGGCGAGCCACAGAATAGCCATAGAAACGACAACGAAAAAAGACTTTGGTCTTGGAGCAAAACCGTGATAGGTTCAACTTAGGCCTGTTTAAAATTTCAAAATTGCCAAGCTCATGCCGGAACGCAGGAAACGCAGAGGTGCACTGCTTTAATGCCACACGTTAAGGTTGGTTCAAATATTTGCGGGTGCGTACGCTGGAGGAAACTGCATTTACTCGTAAACGCTCATGACGAGCAAACACACTGGTGCACTGGCGCCATCTGTCAAATATCCCTAAAAGTGCCTATAAATAAAAATAAGTTCGTGCAGTATTTGCGAGATAAAATCTACGCACGCTCCATGAAAAATGGTTGCTCAGAACATTGCCAGGATTATTTCCATTCCACGGCGGAAATATGGTGCGTGAAATTATAAAATATTTATACCCAAACTACCTGAGAGTTACCTGACAGTTGGCACCAGTGTACCAGAGTATTTCACTCGCCGTAAGCTGTTACAAGAAAAGTAATGCACTCGAGCATAAGACATAAATTTATGAAACAAACCGTAAGCCCGAGAGCGTAATCGGAAAATGAAGAATCGAAAAAAAAAAAAATGGAAAGACTCTAAAATAAATCGAGGTCCATATTTATCTTTTCTACCCCGATATCGGAGGTGCTTCTTGGCGTGTTCAGCTTTCCCAAGGTCGTGTATGTTTGGCATGACGCGGAGCCGTGATTTCAGGGTGCACACGAGCACTATTCGGGTGTAAAGAAATTTTATAATTAAGCCAATGAACAGAGGGCATTAAAACTTCCCACAAGGGTGTTTTTAAGTGGTGCATTTATCGTACTCAAGTTTTATGAGAATAGGATATACAAATATTACGCAAAAACATGTTTTTTACGCATAAGAAAAACAGCAAAACCATTCTGGTTGACGCTGCTACTCAAAAATAACACAACATAAAGCAAAAAAAGAAAGTGAAATGTTTTTTTTAGATAAATTCTCGAAAGCGGATATAACAGATCCGAGTGTGTAACGCGATCTTCAAATGAAAGCGCCAACCAGAAAGTTTTTTTTTCCCCCCGTTTTCCATCCTGCGACACAAAAAGAAGGTTGTGTAGGCTAATATCTTTTTCTTTAAAACCTTCACTGATATACTTTGTGTTTGACAAATAAACCACCTGAAGACGCCCTCGCAAAAACGTTTAGTGCACTTCGCTCATTGGTTTATCACACGGATTTTGTTCACGGCCAAGCAGCGTCTCAGAACATCTTAACATGGAGGTCAACCACACCTCCTCAACAACAAGGCCGGATGACTCAAGTTTCTATGCCTCGCAAAGAGGCAAGGGTAGGGAATGAATTGCACACGACGTCACCTTTCGACCGGAACTTAAGTCCTCAAGAATTTAAGACAAGTTTCAGCCGAAAGGTTACGCAATATTCGTGTTTAATCCACGTCCTTCGTTTGCCTCTGACGACGAAACTTTAGTGCTACAGCAAGGAGGTGTTCGGTGAACACATCGGCTTCGTTTGCAGTGTTCTGTAGTTCAACTGGTAATTGTTAGGATGCAGCCGAATTTAGCCAATCTTTACCAGCTCATCAGATCGTAGGAAAGGTTACTTGAATACAGCATGGACGAATACGAAAGTTCAGTTTGATACTTTGTTTATGTTCTTGCTATGTACTGAACCGCTTTCCCGCATTGCTAGTCACCACTTCGTTTTTTTTTTTTTTGTTCTGTCTTTTCTTAATTTCAAGTTGAACTTGAAACGCTAAATTACCCCCCCCCCCCCCCCTGAAAAAAAACAACAACAAAAAACAAAAAAACAAAAAAATTACGTTTGAGCACCTCGAATTGCCTTTTGTTTACTTAACGCTTTCTGTAAGTCAATTAGGTTCCAAAAAAGCAATAATATTTAGAGGTAATTAGTGTTAAAGTGAAAAAAAAAACAGAGCTGTTAGCAAAACTGATATAGGTTTTTAAACCTAAGAATAGAAATTGCAAAAAAAAATGTATATTTGCTGTTGTAATTTAATTGGGTTTTATATTCAAGTTAACATACAAGACGAAAGCTGCAGATCACTTAATATAAAAGCAAAGGAAAAAATTGTGTTATTTGTTTTGCATTTTCACTTAATAAAAACTCTTCTACACTCACGTGAGAGCGGGTGGCCATATTCGCATTGCCTCGTCGATAACCTGCGTGATGTACTTTAGTTTTTTTGTGACTGTCTCGTAGTCCAGCGACCCCTGTAAGTACAAACTCCATAAACAAAAACTCCCGTAAGTACCAATCCCATTAACAAAAAAATCACCTTTCAATTTTTGTTGTGATAAAAGGGTACAAACAATATTTACATGCACATTTTTATATCTAAATAACTAACTTAATACAAATTAAATTATGGTGGAATAACATTCTTATCTGGAACAGTGTACGCCCAAAGCAAGTAGACCTCGGAAACCAGATTTTGTTTGTCCAAACATAAAGTTGGGTATCCTCAAATTGCGAGAAGTCTAAACTCGTTCTGTTCGTTCTATTCGGTTCACAAATTATGGCCTTCACTATCCACAACGTGGTTGGCTTCGTGATGAGTCCCTTCCAAATTAACTTTATATATCCAGTTGCCCATAATGCTCTGAACACTGATAGAATATACTGTATTAAAGATTCAGTTTGAATACAAATTTACTCTAGGTTGATCGTGCTGACGAGAACCTGGGGACACGGAATGTGTAGAGTTACCATACGCATTAAGCGTGCGGTGGCGCTAACCCTCACACATCAGCCCTAATCCCCATCACATAAGGACAGCATGACCAACCGACACACATTATGCCTACGATAGATGAGCACATTCCGTGTTCCCCGGTTTGGGTCAGAGTGATCAAAGCTAGTGTAAAATTTTGACTTTAGAAACCAACCGTTAGCCCTCCCCACACCCCTGCTCTGGTTAGCTTAGCCAGTGTAGTAGCTGGCTGGGAATCACTTAGTCTCGGGCATAATTCCCGTTGGGAGTATTCTTGCATCCGTGTTTCCTAAATGGGCCCCATGGTGCCTATGCGCTATGTAGCTCCTATTGAACGTGATGGTTGAGCGTTACAATGTTTGCACAGAAAACCCCCGTAGAAGCACATTCTGTGTAAAAAAAAAAAAAAACTTACACCCTCGTTGAGCACATTCTTGACTTCCTGCCTAACCTTCTTCTGAACATCCGGGTACTTGCCGAGAGCATACGTAATGAAAGACAGGGCGGTTGCACTTGTCTCAAAGCTGTGAGTGACAAAACCACGCATCACTATTAGCATCTCAAAATGTTCTTATATTTGAAAAAAGGTTGTTATGGGCCTTCACACACACCCTAAAGAATGGTTATAAACCGACACGTGGCGCGGCTCTGCTTATCAACACGTCCGAAAGACCGCGCATGCGCGGATGCTATGGGGGCAAAAGCGGCCAGGCTCTCCGTGTTTTCGCCATTCCGTTGTGTGGCGTGCGCTTGCTGTTGACGTTGTAGGGACGCTTCTAGCTTTATTTGTGCGCCGTATTTCCTGACAACGTATGTCGTATGCTAAGCCCGACTATTTGAGCTCGCTGCCACTAGCCTGAACGGCAGTGGTATCGAGACAAACTGTGCGTGGATGGTGTTGTCTTAGACGATCCGTACACCGTAAACATGGCCTGCTGGACTTCCAACGTGAAGTTGCTGCCCCCGAAGTCGATGGCTCACGTCGTTTATTTAGTTTTTTCGCCGATACGGTACAAGCGTACAAGTCTCTTGAGGCCTACGATTACGTCGAGCCGGTTTCCGCACTGCCGGCGGGATTAGCACACTGTGAGCGTGCGGAAGTGTATTTATTAATTGATTCTATACACACAACGTTTTCAAATCAAGTAAATTTATGATATATTTCTTACCCTCATGACCACAAGGCATGATAAGCGGTAACGCTTTGCCCGTTAGGCAGTCTTGGCGGTAACACTTTACAAGTATAACGGCGTTATCAGTAACGCATTATTTCTTTCAGTAACGTAGTAACCTACTAGTTACTTTTTCGAGGCAGTAACGGGTAACGTACTTACATTACTATTTCAAGTAACGTAGTTACATTACTGGTTACTACTTCCCAAGTCTTAAAAAAATTACACTTCAATTTTTTTCCGTGTTTTTAGGCGCTAAGTCATTTGAATTTCTGAGTTTTCTGCGTATTTCTTTGCGTTTTTTCTCGCGAGTATTTAGGTGGTACCATAAAAAGAGATAAATAATTATGTTCAGTTTTTGCATGAACATAAAGTTTCTTGATATATGATCTTATGCATACCTGTACCGTCAAAACAGCAGTAAAACTTTTTAAATCATAATTTAAAAAGTTACGCAGAAGTAACATCTGTTACTTTTTATTGGTAGCGGTAACGCGTTCCTTTTATTTTGAGGTAACGTAGGTCGGTAACAAGTTCCTTTCATTTGCAAGTAACGAGTAACGTATTTCGCTACTCTTTTTCGGGAACACCTCCAACACTGCCGTTCTGTCGCCGATACCCTTCCGCTTGGTAGCACGGGCGAGCCTCCAACGGGGTGTCCCGAAACAACTCATTTGCGTTTGAACCCTTTCCGCTTCAAGTCAACCCATTCTTGAAAGGACCGTCCCGTTTGAATTTCTCCCGATTTGACCCAATCCCTAAACGACTTTCGCGTTTGAACACGTCCCGTTTCGACCCATTTCTGAAACGCCCTTCACACTTGAACCCGTCCCGTTTCTTCCCGTTCCTGAAACGGCCTTCTTATCTGAACCCGTATCGAAAACACTCTTTGCGTTTGAATCCGTCCCGTTTCAACGCATTTGTAAGACACTGCACATCTTAACCTTTTAGCGAAAAATTTCAATCATTCTAAGCCTGGTATGCGCATGTTTTCTTCTTAAGATTGTGTTCTGAATTATTTTTGCATGTCAACTTTCAGACAAGCTTCAAGGTAATATATTCCTACTTCAACCACTTAATACGTTTTTTTTCTTTTCAAGATGGTCTTTAAAACCTGCAAACGCGAAACGGACTATGTACACTGCGCGATACTGGTTGCATTTACATGGATGCGACCGGTAGCGCGTCGAATCGAGATTTGGCTATTGCGATTGGGGTAAAAGAGGAAAAACTAAAGAGACAGGGTGCGTCTTATTGTTCCCTGTTCGATTCGATGCGCTAGAATCGCATCCATGTAAACCCTCCTATTGTTACGCCAAACATGACGTTGGCGCTTTTTTAAAATTTTACTTCGAATTGTTATAAGTATAGGCACCAAATTTTACCTCTTAGGTTAGTGGCCTAGATGAGCACTTCCGAAGACACTAATAGTTTTGATGCTAGCCTTTTGATTCTATGAGATAAACTGCAAAAACCGTCGATTACTTGTTCACGCTAACAGTGTCGTGCTCTGTATAATAAGGGAGTCTTAGTGTAACGTACGGAAGTATTTTGGTTAAGGTAAAAGTTAACGTCGCCACAGGTTTTTTTTTTTTTTTTTTTTTTTTATACAGCGGCGCTATTTTTAGAGTACCCAATGCGCTGGGTACGTTATTCTAAAACTCCCTCATAGTAAATGAGGTATTTTGAAGAGCGATAGATCAGACAGGTTGACAGACGTATGATTGCAACTTTATTTTATTTTTCCAATCTCAAATACTGAAACCTCGCGTGCACAGAAAAATATTATAGACCAGAAAATGCCGTCACCTTGTTGAAGAATCGAACAGGGAAATTGTGCCACCAAAAAGGCAACGCTGCAATGGACCTTTTCCGAGAAGCGTTCTGCACACGCGCGAGCACCCGATGCCAAGCGGCGGAAGTCGGCACGAAAAATCAAGGAAATTCAAAAGGAGGCTGTGGATCAGCGAGTAGAACACGTAATTGCAGCATATATATAATTGTGCTACAAAAAAAAAAGAAAAATAAAGTGGCCGGAAAGAAAAACACGACGTTTAGATGGACGCCACGGAGGCCCCTCTTTACAGTCCCGTTGGGCGCACGCCGCAGCGCAGAGAGCGAAAAAACTGGTAGCGTAGTTCACATCATCGATTGGTAACGCAGGTAGGTCACTTCCTTAATTTTAAGTTCATGCAGCTACCGCCTGGTGCCGTCGGTATATGGAAAAGGTCCCTTCTGATAGTTTGCGGTCCTTGCTGACACATATATGCCCCCTGGCCCGCACGGCACCACCGTTTGCAAGCCTCTGAAAGGATATTCTTGTCAAGGCCTCATCTCCTTTGATCAGATCAATGAAGCTTTAAATGTTCGGGTGAGCCCTCCCTGACACCGCGGTTATCCTACGGTGCCAAGACTCATTGTGTTTTTTGGTCCGTGGTCCTCGGTTTCCGTAGCCGTTCCACCGATGAATGGAAAATGGCCATTCTTAAGATGCCATCAAAACAGTCAAGCATGAGTGAAGACATCCTACGCCGGTGAAAGCGATAACTGCTACGCTCGTTTGGAGCACTGCAGGCACCCAAACACCAGAAAAGCGTGCATAAAGTGACTGGTGGTGATCAAATCTCCGAGGTTGTTTCGGGAGAGGGCGAAATGACGTCCCCAAGGACGACGGACACTGGACGCTTGGACCAACCTAACTGATACTGATCAGTGGTTGAAGCGGGAAGGTTGTTTCGGGAGAGGACGAAATGAGAAAATATGAAACGAGAAGGTCGTTTTGGGCCGGGTCGAAACGGGAAGGTACAAACGGGAAGGTTGATATGGGAATGGGTCGAGACGGGAACCACCCCTCCAACGAGCGCTTGGCCGGTGCTTTGAGCGCGAACACCGTGGGAACAAAATCCGGCTAGTCTCGATCAGACGACGGTCTCTCTTCACATAAGCAAGCCTCGGGATGGAGATTGAAATGAAAGCCGGACGTGCCTTCAAGAATTGGCGCACAACGGTCGTTCGCGCGAGGAGACCATTATTTTCGATCCACGGATATTATCCGCCTTTTGTGCCTTTCAGAGTCTGCCGAGAACTTGTGGAAACTCACGCCGCTACTTTTTATGTAGTTTGCGGTGAAATTAACGATCACACAGCTTCGCGTCATGCTGAAATGCAATGACGCCCATGCGAAACGTGCGCCCTTCTCCGCACACCACCCCGCTCCGGCGCGATCGCAGCGCCACCGCAGATCCGTGACGTCAAGCCCGCGTGTCGGTCTATATTATATGATATTTATAAACAAAAGTCTTCAAAGGGAGTCTGCCTTACAACGAGTTTTTGGAAACAATGTGTACAAGGATGTTTTTACTGGAAAAATAAACTGCGTATAGCAGACGGCTCAGTCTCCCCCAAAATGTAATGCTAGCGGTGCGGACAAGAAGAAAAAGCTTCAGAACTTGAAGTTATCGGACTCCATCATGATAGGGAATTCTGGGAAGGTTTTTGTCGAAATTGAGAGAGCCTTCAGCCATATAGTTACAGTCAAAAGGTTCATCGGCTGCATATGATTACTCTGGGCTGGTTACGCTACAGTTATCTCAGGATTGCTTGGTCGCCAGATGCAAATGATCGAGATTAGAAAATGAATTTTCGTAATTTTTAGACCTCTTAAAATTGTAAAACTCAGTCAATATCCTAGGTCGCCTATGAGCTTTTCGTAATAAGGGCAATTTATTTGTTTAATTTTTGTATATTAGCCAATTTAACCTGCTCACTGGCATACCCACTTTAATATATTGGACTATTTGTTCGGAAAGCCATTAACTATTGTTAACGCCTTTGTATTTTACGGGCCTTATACGGCATTAAATGGCTAGTCGTTTTGATAAATAACGTAACAAACTGAGAGTTTTTGTTCTAACACCCGGGTGAAATTTTTTTAAAGTTTTTCTTCTCTTATTTTAATTGTAATTTAGTTTTATACATGATTTCTCCCCAAAGTCACACCCTACAAAACGAAGTGTTATCAAACATGAATATGACACTACATGCTCGAAGATCGGTTTTTGGTATGACACGTACACAAAAAATTGAAAAGTTCAGAGCTGATATCGAATCTTCTTTTCACAGCAAAACATTATATAGATCAAACGCGTTAGCGGAATGAAGCGAACAAGCGAATAAAACTCACCCTCCTAGAAATAGAATATTTGTGTTCATGATAACTTCTTTCGAAGATAATGCCCTGGTCTTGCTGACACCTGCAAAGTTAAATTAAATTGAAGACACTTGTTATTGCCTATCATTTTCAAGCCTGATAACACACTAGTGCCTGAATAAAAAAAATAACTGGGTCGAAAAGGGCTTGGCAATACAAGTAAACATTATTCGAAGACAATGATCTGAACATAAAAGTCTGTTACACAATATCATGGTAAATTTGGGTTATGTACAATAAAACATAAACAAAACAACTACTTTTCAACGAGCCTGACGCTAGTATGCGTCGACGCCAAGACGGACGCGTCTTCCGCTTTGCGGCTACTCTCGTCAAGCTGCAGCCTGTTTGCCGCTTGGGGCAAGTCGGGGACCCACCAACAATGACGTCACGCGCAGGCCTTTCCTTCTAAGCGGTATTGCCCCCCCCCCCCCTCCCCTAGACAACAAGGTGCGTGTGGTGGATTTTGTCGCTCCACCCACCAGGGGCCACAGAGGGGGGAGGGGGGGGGGGGGGGCAAGGATTCAGGACGAGTGCTACGTCCTCTTGCCGCTAGAACGCTCTTTGTCCTCGCTGAGTGGGCACGAGCAATAGCACAAGTCCCAGTCGAATTCAGCCGAAGCACACGTGCCCAACCCATGCACCTCGCTGGCCTTCGGTAGATGACGTGAAGACTAGCGCAAAGGCTCTGCTACGTAAGAGGTGTTGATTTTACGGAATGTTGACCATCCCCTCCCTCCACCACTGTTGTTGTTTTGAAGAAGTGTCTTTTTCACGGAAACCGCTGGCATTGGTCGCACCGTTCGAGGGAGGGGTGTAGATATCAAGGAGTAGGGAGAAGTGTTACTGCGCTGGCCTTGTACCCGCCATTCGACGGCACGTCTTAGCCCGGAAACCCCCCTCCCTCCGTGAAAACTAGTCTACGCATCGCCGAAATCTCAGAGTCCGCCAGCACGTATGGTGGTAGTGGTTCAGACACGATGCCAAAAATTAGAAATGCAAGGTTATATAGTAAACGACGGCTTGACAAGAGCAATGCGCGGCGAATTCCCGGAGTCTTATTATTGTTATGGAGGCGATGAGATCGCGACATTAGCCTTCAAGAAAACTAAAGAACAAAAATATCAAGATAATAAGAAACATCCAGCGTTTCTTAAGCTATTAGTGACAAGAGAAAAACAAAACAAAAACAACAACATTGTAGCGAGAAAGTGACGTTCCGAAATAGACGGAACCGATAAAAAGATCGTACTATATACTGTAAACGAATTATTTTTCGCGGGCTCAATATTTCGCGATTTAGATCAAAGCTGAAGTTTTGGAATAATTCGCGGTGGGATCTCGATATAAATGCCAATGTGTTTACATTTTACCGGAATCGTTCGCGTAACCTATCTCTCGCGAATTGTGAGCGATTCGCGAAAATGAAGTCGTCTACTGTATATATATATATATATATATATATATATATATATATATATATATATATATAAACAGGGTGTTTCAGAGAAAGCAGGCCGAATTGCTCCTGCGAAAACTACTCATCGTAACGAAAAAAAGGCTTGTGACGGTTTGGTCCTGGGCCAGGGGCCCATTTAGGAAAATCATTAAAGTCCAGGAAAATTAAGTTGTTAATTATATTTGCGTAATTTACTTTTTAATATTGTGTTTAAGGGCATTGTTTAAATTAGGAAATTGCTCAGCATTATCGAAAAACATCAAATCAACAAATAGCAGAAGGATAGAAGGCACGCGAAGCATTTTATGGCTTTCCGAAAAACCACACAAAATCGACGGGTCTTTAAGTTTCGGTTTGCTATCGGAGCGCATCTCAGCCCCGGCGGCACCGCGCCCCGAGGAGAGATAGTGCAACCAACCTCTGCTGCGCTGTCATCAAAAATAATTAACAGCTTAATTATCCTGGACTTTAATAATTTTCCTAAATGGGCCCCTGGCCCAGGACCAAAACGCCACAAGCCTTCTTTCGTTGCGATGAGTAGTTTTCGCAGGAGCGATTTGGCCTGCGTTCTCTAAAACACCATGTATATATATATGTATAAAAGGTTCAATAGCTAACACGCATCGTTCATAGCGTCGTTTGTTTCCTCACCCGAGGATGTCTGCGTCGATGCCAGCTCCTCGTACTCCGCATCGATGAGATTCTGGAGCATGTCATTCCTTCGTAGCTAAAGAGAGATCATTCAAGAAGTAAACGCAGACGAAACAACTCGTTTCACGCTAGACCTTTTCTTTCTTTCTTTTTTCAAAATTGCGCGTTATTTAAGCAGCTGCTGCGCCAGTGATCTGAGTCTGGCCGTAGTTTTTGCACCACGCACCCTGAACATGTATCGGAAGACGACGGCTTCGTCAGCGTTATGCGCCGTTCAAACTCTTGCGACCAAGACCGAGAGAGACCAGACCGGTTTTTAAGCTTTTTGTGACTTCTTAAGACCGGATGCGATGCAGTGGAGCTGGTCCTAAGAGATCGCAAGAGGCTTAAAAACGGGTCTGGTCTCTCTCGGTCGTACTCGGTTGCAAGAGTGTGAACGGGCCCTTAGGCAGGGACTCGATTTCAAGCGGACGCTTTTCGCCCCAATAAATGGCGATCGCCAGCGCTGCTCGAAACGAGTCGAGTGAATAAAGATTTTTTTTTTTTCATTTTGTTTAATCATTCGTTGGCCCTAGCTAATTTAGCTAATTTATTGAGTCTAGACCTTAAAATTTGCAGACATATTTTAAGACACATAGACACAGCCCTCGTTTCAGTCCCCCCCCCCCCCCCCCCCCCCCCAAAATCCCCTCAGAAAAAAAAAATGCGCCCTTGAACAGCTGAAAAAAAAAGGATATGAAAATAAATAAAATTGGTATTCATTCAATGGGATGATTCCTGAGTGGTCCTCTATAGTGATTAAAGGAGTTGGTACGCTTATATTTGTAAGCGAGTAACCTAACGATCTTACTAACCCTATTTGCACTAAAAGGCTCGTAGCATTTTGTTAATTCAGTTTTCAGACCTATCGTTTAGATACTGTTGCCGCTTTCCGTTATTAGGCAGGCATATAATTAGATTAGAATATTGACAAATGGCTCCATCAAGCTGAAGCCGTCACGTCGAATTCTTAATTTGGTTAAAACAAATAGCTGAACTGACGCGTGTGGTTCGTTCTTGGCTTGACGAAAACTGCGAACCGACATCGTAACCGATAATAAATATAGCGTTAAAGGAAACCTTTACAGGAGTACTTTGGGCCGATAAAACTGTGAAGCAGACGTCGTGAAGTTTGTAACTCTTCGTGAAATCATTTGTGTACCAAGGCTCAAACGGCAACTTCCAGCGATAGGACACCATTGGCTGGCGCTACGATCACATCATCGCTTACGCCAGCCAATGGAGCCCTGCTGCACCTGTGTCATTATTGCAACGGCAACGAAGTTCGAGATATATCAAATCAACAAAATTCTCAATTGAAGGGCGAGAAAAAGCTCGCCGAATTTAGTTAACTGTCGCCACATGACCAAGTCATGTGACAAGTAGGTTCACGTCACGGCTTGTGTTCACGTAGCGCTGATAACGTTATTCTGATGACGTTACTTTCAGGTCGCTTTTGTCATGTCGGTCGCTTTCTGGTATCGGCCGTTTCCTACATAACAGCCCTATGACGTACAGCAGGTCCAACAGTTTAAAATAACATTGTTACTGTGTCTTGTTAACGTGAATTGAATAAAAAAAGTTTTAGGATGAAGTTACAAGAAGAACCTGATAATAAACCGCTTGAAAACATGCGGTTTTCAGGAGATGTTTTTGTGTTTTAGGGTAAGATTTGATAACTTCTCACAATTAGTAATCATGATATAATGCTTAAAAACAAGCAAACCAACCTCTGGGTGTTTTTTACGGAGCTCAATGACCTTCGCCGTCTCTTCACCGAAATCCTGATGTGAAAAACTGCCAAATATCCGGCTCAGCCAAAAAATCGGAGCAGCCAGAATGCCAAACGAGGTTGTGCACTCTAAAAAAAAAAAAAAAAAAATAACAGGTACAAAGGTTAATTTTTGCATACTTAAATTTTTGAACTGTCGATGAGCAATATTTTTTTTTTTAAAAGTCCGTCAGGCATAGGGTGTCCATACTGCTCAGAGTTGCATACGCGACATCAAAGGGAGGAAAAGCAAGGAAGGGGGAGGGGGGGGGGGGGGGGGAAGCGCAAAGCGGAGAAATAAAAAAAAAAGCTCGGGAACACTAAGCGGCAAATCCTGACCGTTGGCATCGGTGGTGCCGAGAGAAATAACAAGAGAGCGTCAAGAAAAAAGAAAGCGAAAGCAGACAAAAAGTTATGGGCGTTCGTTTTCCCGCGACGAGTTGAAGTTGCTGAACTGCTTGCGAGCTTTACTTATTTTTATACATTACGCAATTCCGGTGGTTTCCTGCGAAGTAAGCTAGAAAAGAACTAGGTACAGACCTTGCAGGCAATGTCTTGCTGCTGCTTTCTGCGTATCAAGGCGTCGCCAGCGATATGGGTCCATCGGGACCACCAACCGGGAGGACCGATGCACGCATCAATACCCACCGTTCGGAAGCGGCCCTAACGCATAAGAACTTTCCCTTTATATTATACACACTAAACTATCGTCGGCGCTTGAGGAGGTGGTTGTTCATCGCAGAGTCGTGAAGTGTTTAGCCGATCCCGGAGTCAGTGCAATACCCGTTGGTCAGCGCTCAGGGAGGCGCGAGGCCACATGACCGCTGAAACGCTGGTACGATAGATTTCATGTATCTTTTACCGTCGTCTTATAATCAATCGCATCTGCAATCGATGAGTTTTGACTCCGAAGGTCAAATGTATCTCGCGTTTCGATCAACACGTGTTTCGATTACCTGTTTGAATTCTGGTTGAATACGCTTGTGTTGTGTCTTGACATTTGTTTTGTTAGGTTTCTTGTCTATCGTTAAGATAGTGTAAGTTTTACGTCATGTTTAATATGTTTTTCTTTAATTAGATTATGCGACTAAAAACCAAATGCGTTCTACTTCATAGCTGTGCTTTGTTCCATAAATTACGTTATATCAAAATAAATTTGTTACATGTGATACCTGCCCTTTATTTCGCTAGACTCGGCATGCAGGCGCGTCGCGACTAAAATTTGTGGCCGTGTCGTGTACACAGCCTGCTCGTCTTCCATTAGCTGGTGTTCATTTGTCTCTCGCGCTATGAAACTAATAGCGTCGCCGGTGCTAACACAATCTTTCATCGCTTTCCTCCGGTGCGACCAACGCCTACACGAGCAATCAGTGTCCATCGAGAATTCCCATATGAAGCTACCTCTTTCAAAAACAAAAGAGCTTACGGGCCAGCATGTGGAAGGGTCCGGTCATGATTTCCTTTACTGTTCGCTGCGCCGTGAGGAAAAATGGATTCTTCAGGTCCTTCTGAAAACTGGTGTCGATCCCGAACGCTGCCCGACCGATGTAGTCCATCATGAGTCGCTGGAACGGCTCCAGCATGTTTACCTCTTTGCCCTGGTCGGCTATCTCGCCGAGCACATCCATGAACACGTCGCCAACTTTAGTGAAGTGATCCATCATCTGCGCACACGGAGTCAAAAAAACAGAATCATGCATAAAATAGGAAGATCGGTCGTTTTTTTTAAACTACCCAAACTAAATTGGTATCCGGAATACTCAGGCCTCGTTCTTTCTAGCATTATGTTAATAATCTTAAAATTCAAAATTGCCACTGAAAAACCGACAAATGAATTTCATGGGAAAAATCAACTTTCGAATTTTCACGCGATCTCCAGTGGGGCGACGTCACATATAGTGTAAACGTTTTCAGCGCTGTCTGCCATGGTGCCTCTCAAGCTCTCAGACAAAAACAGCAAAACATGTACGGTGACTTGCACTTTGGGTTACCAAGCCAGATGTTTCTACGATTGTCCTAAAAGTCTGCCTTTCGGTAGACATCTACCTGGTTAGAAATAATGAGAATAGCATGAAAAAAATTCTGAGCACCCGATGGTTAGTGGCTTTTCTATTCTATTTTAATATTTGCTAGCCAGGTGGATGCCTAACGAAAAGTCACGCCGTGTTCCGACTTGCCCAACGCTATTTTCAACGAACCATCTCTGTCTGAACCGCCAAAGCCATTCTAATTTTCGAAGACACTGGGAACTTTGAAAAGCCTGACACCGTGCACTTTGGAAAACTAGACAAGGGCGTAAACAGTAACACGTGATCAAGGGTTCCGAACTGGCTTTAAAACTTTGGGCTTTCAAATTTCAGGTGGTTAGAGTTTTTCTGTTCTGTTCTATTAATGTGTAGAGCAGGGTTTGAGCCAAACAATTACCATCAAAATTTTGCATAAGAGGCTAAATGAATGCCGTAGATTCCATTAACCTCTTCCGACCAGGCGTAAATTTCGCATGACTATCCTTAAAAATTTAACTTGAGGTTGAATACATCAGAAAGGGAGGTCAGCAAAAATACAGCTGTAAACATAATATATTTTATAAGACGACATGCATTTCGTTATGTGTTATATTATAGAGACACTTCGGAGAAAACTATTAAACTGGTACCCAGAAAGTTATTCAGCTTCCTTCTAATCCTCCAACATCTTGTAAATGTTTTGAAGTAAAAATGATTAGCTACTCGAAATACTGAATTAAACCTTATGCCATGCTTGTATGTACGTGGAACACTGCGCTATCACCATTTTTAATATGAACGAATGCGGCTTGCAGCGAAAAACACCACTAAAAACTGTTCCCAAGAAGAGCACAACCTATACACTATAACTGCCACTGTGCCTCAGCTTGCGAGGTTTTTAGAGCACACTGTTAAATAAGGTGGACTATAAGTTAGGGTTCCGTGTTTTCGGCATATATCAATAAGCACCACAAAATAACCCCCATGACAACTTCCTTAAATAAAAAAAAAACGCAAAAAATTAAACTTTTGATAAAAAAAAGCCAGTTTCACTGAAACACAGTTTCTATCCTACTTTTCTTTTCGCGTTGACCCGGAACTCCAGCCGCTGTCGAACTGAGCTGTGGTTAGGGTTGTTCCTTTCTATCCGAACCAGAGTCCTTGTCCCGTTCCCATCTCTTATCTTTACCAGCATGATGATTTCTAAGAGTTTAGGCCAGGCGTAACTCTCCTGGAACACGAAAGAAAGGGGACACGGGAGTAACATTGGCGGCATTGAAGGTGCACTAAAGAGGTTTCTGAGGTCGTTTGTTCTTGATGATAACTCATTCTACAAAATTTTAGCACTCCGAAATTTAAAGAAAAGAACATTACGCTCGTGCACCGTCTATTTCCGTACTAAAAATGTGACCGAAGCTCGTGCCCCCGCCTATTTCTGAGTGGAAAAATCTGGAGCAGAGAATTCAGCGGAGGCGCCAACGGCGTGACGACGGTCGCGCGTCAACCAATCGCAAGCCGCCTTTCTGACAGTGGTCCTTGACTAATGGCTAACCCGCCTGCTCCCCGCCAAAAGAGCAGCTCGTCGCATCGTCAAAGTCGGTTTTAGTGTGGAGTATGCGGTTTCAGTTCAACACAGCACGCACTTCGGCTGTGATCACATTTCCTGCCACTATAGCGACACCCATTCATTTATTAATGCGAAAGCACTGTCTCATGGAGCGAGCCGGCGTCATCAAGTTTGAAACCGTGCCAAACGGCACTTTGATGATACCACGCGCAAAGCTAGCCAATGGCACCTTTTACACTTCGGTCCGATTGGCTGGCGCGCGTCGACGACACTCCCATTGGCCGCTGCGCATCAGTTTGTGTGTTGTCATCCTGACCGTGTTATCACACTGTTGTGTTATCACTGATCACCGCGTTCGCTGGTTTCTTGTCGGTTGTACGGCGCGTGGCACTATATACGGCGCATGGAATAAACAAGCGGGTTCATTTTGTTGGAAACTACGTTGCTGTCTGTTCCGTCCTCGCGCCGCAAGGCCCACGACAGTTTGAACGATCGCTCACCCTATGGCGCTGCCTGACCGCGAGCCAGCGGCTCCACCGTTCCACGCCCAAGGTTAGCGCGTTGTACGCCGCAGATTAAAGAAGGAAGCGAAGAGCGGCGTGCGTGCTTTCGGATTCACAACTCATAAGGAGTGCTTAGGTGTGCCTCGAGCCTTTTTTGGTTTCCTTTCCATTGGAGATGCCCTTTCGGTATCCGTACTCCCAGCTCAGGTTTTACGTTTCTGTCCTTCTTGTTTTCTTTCACAACTTTACGTTGACCAATGTCATCGTGCCAGCTTAGCCGCCGCGAATGTCTTTTGAATGCGCGCGATGACGCGGAATCGAGGCGCCACCGAAACATATTTTACAGCGCTCGCTGAGGGGCGATGCGCGAAACCTGATAGACACAGGCCTATATATAACACCACAACGAGTCCTTGACGTAAAGCCGCTGCAATGGCGCTACTATCAAGAGATACGCAGAACCTCCACTTCACGCGAATGTGGCTACCACGCACTCGAAGCGCGCACACACCTCGTGTTGGCTCGTTCTGTAAAGAGCGCGTTGGGCTTATATTAGGCCGATGGACCCGACTCTCACCAGCTTGATCTTGAGTCCGGTAAAACCGGAAGTGATGCAGGAGCGTATGTTCCTCCACTCGGAGCCCTTTACGTGAATCAAACCTCGCCCAACGACTGGGTGCATCTGGTCGGTCCTCATAGTTACCTGCGTAAAAAAAAGCCCAAAAAACGTAACTATTTTTACCTCCAGGCGCCTTAAGTGGAGGATACGTAAATAACCTAAAGGTTACACGATTTATTTTTAGGATTTACCCACTCCTCCATTTCGTTCAACAAAATAGCGGTTATGTTAACAGACAAATGAATTCGAGTTGACCCCTTTTTTTGATTATCGACTATTTTGATCACGTCTCCGAATAAAATCTATAAAGCCCGTTTATGCATCAAGCGAGAAACCTCTTTGCTGTACCATCTTGATGAATTACCCGAAACTGGGGCGAAATTTTGTGAACATCAAAAGTGGAAGAGAGCGAGGCTTTGAGACCTTGTCTTACTGTCACCTTTTTCTTTTTCTTTCTCTTCCACTCTTGATGATTCTGAGACCTAGTCCCAGTCTCGGGTAATTCATCGAGATGGTAAATACACACCAGCTCGAATGCTGTCACTATAATTTCATTGCTCTATGCTGACAGCCTGATAGTAATTAGATGACTGCTTAAAGGGCAACTCCGGCCAAAACTCAAAATGAATTAAATTACTGGTATCGCTTTAGTGACACAAAATACGACCCCAGCCAAAATTTCACGTCCGTGGGACGCCGCATTCTCAACTAATGCCGATAATAAAAACGCGACCCGCCGCGAGCCGCTGCTCCTTAGCGGGCGGCTAGCGGGTTGCCGATCGCTAAAGCAACATTGGGCCGTGATGTCAACATCGTCCTCTTTTTTTCCTCCGTTCCGGACGGGCGCACGGCGCAGCCGTTGCGGGCGCTTCTTTGTGCCGTTACCACCGCAACTTCGGCTTGTAATTGCGTGTTTAGCCGTTGCTTTTACCTGTAGCCCGCGTAGCTTCGGTATAGCCTTTTGTTTATTTGCTTGTGAGGACTCCTAGACTCGTTTTAGCGAGCAACTCGGTGCGCCCAAGATTGCCCAGCTGTTCCTCGAAAGATGCCGAGTACAACTTAAAGCGCTGTGGGCTGCTCGAACAAGCCGCTGCGCAACCCGGAGGTGCTTTTTAACAAGTTTCCAACGGATCGGAAATTGTAGAAGGTGTGGGTGAACGCTCTTCGACGAGTGGACTTTGGAAAGCCTTAAACGTCGACCCCCATACCGAAGCTCTGCTCCGATCATTTTCCGCCGGAGAGTTACGAACGAAACCTACAGGTGTTGGTTGCTTGTGGCTTGTCAGCGAAGGGGTCGAGGCTTAAAAGGATGCCGTGCCGTCGCTCTTTGCCCATTGTACATGTACAGAAAGGTAAACATGATAAAAGTATCCTGATCAATAAATAAAACAGTCATTGTCAAGTGCAGTGTTGAAGATTGAGCATTCACGCTCCATTGAATGCCTGTTGAATGGGGAATGGTGGGCATGTAGAGTGCAACCACTAACTAGCTCCAAACACTGAAGTTTGTAATGAAAACGAAAACAATGTTCTTCTTTGCGTCACTGCTTGTTTACTACGCTATCTCGTGCGTAGTATTCAGGTCCGTAACGACTACTAGCGAACGATATAAACATTCGCCTTCCAATCGTTCGAACCCGTTACGCAGCAGTATTAATTAACATTGCGTTTGTGAATACCACAAGGGACTTTAAAGAAATCGCGAAAGTTCGGATTTGGAAGTTACAACTCTCTAATTTGCCCGAGTTCGGCTGGAGGTAAATATAATATTTAAAAATGCAAAAAACAAAAAACAAATTTGCTTTAGTTAAAAGTTACGGAGGAAAACTTAAGATCCTATGTATTCTAATAAAAAAAATTGTTGTGGGTGGGGGTGGAAATGCGGAAGGGAAAGAAAGTGTTCTCACCTTGCTAACGTTCTCTGTTTTCCTTTATCACCCACAAAAACTTTTGCTAGCTTTGAGAAGAAAACGACTGCCCAAAGAACTTTTTTTTTTTTAGTGCGGCAAGTTTTTTTTTTTAATTTGTACAAAGATTTACTACCTGGACGAACTTATGTGGTGAATTAGTGTCGTAGCTTACAAATTCGGCTTTTATGCGCCTGAGGAAAAAATAACGAAAAAACAGACGTCTACAGCTTGACACACGTCTGTTCGGTTGTCGCGGAACGCGCCGGAGAGCCTCAAAGCTTCGTGTCTGGGACTGACCCGCAGCACGAAAGCGCCAGCACTGTACGTCACTGGCAGCGCGGCGTAGAGCAACGCCGCTCCATCCACGGAGCCCCGATGACAATTTAGGCCTAGCGACGAGTGCGGGAGACCGCACGCACTCCGACAGCTGCCGAGTACGGCATCGAACGAGTTCACTCGTTTTCCAGTCGCTAGCTTTTTGGTATACAAGCAACGAGTACGGCACGGCATAGCGCACGCGCGGCGGCGGCCGCCGAGTACGCCACCGAACGAGTTGACGGGTTTTCCAGTCGCTAGCTTTTGGGTATACGCACTAACTGTTGCAACATATGCTGGATAACTACCACGTATACAGAATTAAAACAAAATGAGCTTACCTTCTATCTTTAGACGGCTAGCGCAACAGAGGTAGGTGCCGCTTGGACTGCGTACTCGCTGAACGAGAACGATCTTGGCGTCACGTCCACATAGCGGCTGATTTCCAGTGTTGCCGGAACCTCGAGCGGCTAGTTTCGGTTTTGTCGGCCGCGCCCCAAACAAAACTTTGAGACGCCGATATCTTTAAAACTACGCACAATAACGAGAAAAAAATTACACCTTGCAATTCGGGGGCGCTAACTGCACTGAAAACAGCCATAATCCCAAAATCGAAAGTATCGACCGGAGTTGCCCTTTAAAGAACTGTACAATAATGCCTACTTTGCTTATCTGTATTTAAGGTACGTTTATACTCCAACGTAACGTCGACGGGCGTCGTAGCGCAGAGCGCAAAGATACTGATTGGTCGCAGATATCGTGTTTCTGGTTACCGGCCAATGAAAGGCGCGCGCTCTGCGCTACTCTGCGTTCACTGCGCTCAACGTCGGAGTATAAACACGCCTTTAGTCATATTTTGCCTTATGTTCTTCGGGTTTCTCTGCATTGCTCTGACGTTCACATTGGTAACTCAAGAAGCGCGCACTGGCACAAACGTCGGGGCAAATGTACCACGTGGTTTCCGAAATGGCTGGCATGTTGACCTGGCGCCCTTTACTTTTGGCCCATGCCCATCTTACAGTAAATAAAAAGTGGCTTTTTTAGGACTAAATATTTATAATTAAAAATGAACAGTTTACTCACTGCTAAGTTAGTGCAAGTTGTGAATAACATATAAAAAAAATTAATGCGTTGCTTAGCCGAGAAGAAGGGACTATACTGACCTAGACTGTAAAGCCACGAAATGAGTAGAAGAGCTTACACGTTTTGCGCTATTATGCGGAGCCAAAGGCTTTAAGTTTTGTTCGCGTCTCGAAATAATTGTGGAAATATAAAAGGTATCTTTTAGATTGCATTGCTTTTTAATATATTTATATGCGCCCGGTCAATCTCTGACTGAAAAATACACTTGTTTAGCAATATCTTCGACAACAATTTCGTAAAGCAGAAAATATGAATAAACTTCTGGTGCAAGACAACGTAATCCTCAAGACATCGCAACCAATAGAAACAACTTAGAGTTAGTCTATTTAACAAATGAAAACGCCAAATTTTGTTGGGTGAAACAAAAAGCACACTCTGCATGTTAGCATAAACACTGATCTGGACAACATTATTCCAGCTGCAACCCCTATGGAACTATAGCATTATACACAATGTTCTCGGCGGATGTATGACGAGGCCGCTTGCATTCGCTTTAAAAAGACAATGAAGGCAATTTTAATTATTCTTTTTAAATGGTGTTTTTAGGCTTCTTGGGATCCTAGCATACTGCCCAATTTTTTATAGACAGTTGTGACGCGTATTTCTGTACCTACGAAAGAACTGAAGAAACCGAAACTGAACTATCTGCGTTTCTCGTTTTTGGGTCTCCAAAAACGGAGGTGACGTAGGGAGTGACGTCACATGTGAATTGTCGGTACCGGCAGCATTTAGGGCGTCGAGACTCTGGTTACCGAGTTGGGTTATAGCAGCGCGGTGGCGCAGTCGTTTCGTCGGACCAACATGGACGGCAATGCCGCTCTCGCGAGCGAATTCGGGCTCCCGTTCAGTGACCTGACACCAACATAACTGGTGATGCTCCTAATTACACGGAACTCTGGAATGCCTCTTTACGAGGACGCCCCAGAATTGCCGCCGACTCAGAGTGATTCGTCTCACACCTACGCCCAGACTCCGGCTAACCTGAAGGTTCTGTTCAAAGTCTCCTGATCGAAAACGCAGCGAACAAATTCTGACGCCATCGCCGAGACCTCTGCGCAAGACAACGCTGTTCAACCAGAGACTTCGCAATGCTTCATCGCTTGGGAGTAGGTGAAAACTAGCGTCGCCCGAACGATCACGGGTCTTCAGTCGACCGTTTGGACATCCTTCAACTGCGCACAAATTTGGCATGACTACCGTTTTGCAGAATCCCTTGAGTGCCGTGTTCCTAAAGTAAACACGGCACCGACATCTGAAACCAGAGCCAAAAAACTCCCGCGTGCTCCGCGCTGTGTTCTTTATTTTATATACTTTGTTTGCCCATAGTTGCTCGTTGCCCGTTTCGCGTGCAGTGTAGCAAAGAGAAAAATAATTATGGTGTTTTGTTTACGGTTTAGTTATAATTTTCGGTTCGATTTATAGTTTTCATGGTTATTCAAGTGGAATTAGAACAGTGTTAATAAAAACCACGAACCAAAGCGTGACCGAGGGCACGTTTCTCGTTTCGACCAATCGCTGACACGTCTCTTGTGACGTCACTCTTCCAGGCCCCACAGGTTCACGTGACCTCCGCTTCTGCTGGTTTCTCCCGCAACGCTCGGGGCGTCGCCTCGATCGATCCCGGTACGATTATTACCGCGACTGTTTAATTGATTTGCGCGGCACACAAGCGCCGGTTTCGGCTGAAATTTGGGCATCGTGGCCTGAGGCGTGCCGGGAACCCAGTACGATCGCCAAAAAAAATATCTGAAATTGCCTTCATTGTCCCTTTAACTAAACGCAATCGTATCTACTTTTCGTACCTTCTTTGAACTATTGTGCTCCTTGCATATCTGTTTTCTTTTTATCTCTTTATGAAAAATTTACCGAGATTCGCGAAATGCATGAAAATCTACAAGGAAGGGTGTAGAAAAGTTGAGGTTAATAAATTCGCCGCCATAAATTAACATGTACACCCTATGCGCTCAGAAAAAAATAAGACGATATAAATATGTACTAGAATCAGTGCCAAAAATAACACTCACGCCACGGCCAGTGAAGTTGGAGAAGTTTTTGACAAAGACGTACTCCAGAAATTTAAAGTCCCGCACCACGAGCATTGGAACATCTCCATTGTAGAAGCTGAAAAATCATTGACAAAGAGTCAAGAAAGGTACACATGTGAGGAGTTTGGCAATGGTTATAATAAAAAGTAGTATTTTTTTGTTGTTATCAGCACGATCATCTGTTTAATTTGTTTGCTCATGAACATCTAAATGCTTGGTTATAATAAGCGTTCAGTATTTTGGGTTTCATTTGTTTCTCGATATCGGGTGTGTTTTTTTGCGCCGCGTTTTACAGATTTGTGTTTTTTTTATAAATTATAAAGCTCGGAAAAGAAGAGGCTTATCGGGGCTTCTGCAGAAGAAAATAGGGCACTGACGTTGGATATCAGAACTTCCAAAGAGCATACCCATGACGCAGGTACTCGGAAAATGCCTCGTACCGAGAAAAGATGAAAAGGTGAAAATGTGTGTGATTTTGAAGATATAAACAGCCTAGTATACAGTTTATTGGGGGCTGTGTTTCAAGTCGGCACGAAAAAGTTGCAGATAAAAAATTTTCTTCTCCCGGAGATTTGGATTTTCTCATTCGAGGTGTTTTTTTTTAATTTTTTCCCTATTTTGATAAAACCGATTCGGGAGTTAATTTTCGAGGATTATCGATGTTGACCGAAAACACGGAACCCTAATTATGATGAATATAAAACGGATTATACACATCCGTTCCCCTGTGGCTCATGGGTATTATGTTATGAACAATTGCTGCAGTTTAAGTAATTCTTTTAAAAGGGCCTTATTGTATAACGAGGAACTTATATAGGCTTAATTTATAAATCATTACAGTCGGCTAAACGTGCTCTTTTAGTCAAGCTGAAATGAAAGACCATTTTTATGTACGGAAGACTCATTCAAACGTGTATATGCTTTATGGCAAAAGTTCCCCTGCGCTATGAAAGTGAACTGTACGCAAACAATTGCCACAACCCAGATTAAGATATATTTGTAAAAAAGTTAGGACAATCGAACATTTATAATTTTAGAGAATTACTTTTAGATGTTATAGTCTCCACTCTTTCAAAGTTGATAGCCTAGAGACTCTTACCCAAATATATCGCCATATTGCTTGCACCATTTTTTCACAGCCTGGAATAAGTCCTGTTGGTAATAAGTATACAAAATAAGTCAATAGAAGTTGCATAGATAAGCGGTACGAAAAACTTCTTTCGAATAATGTCAAGAGTTTTTGCTTTTAGTGAATGGTTCAAAAGGGGTTTGATTGGCACAATAATGGTAAGAGATATGAATAACCCGCAAAAAAATATTGTAGCTTCTTTCCTGATGACAGCTGACTTAGACGTCTTCATGTTCACATTATATGTGGTAAATGACCTCTAAGCAACTAAAATACCGCAGATCTTTTAAAATGAAACAATAGTATTATATTAGGCACAGATCGCAACTTCCCTGGTGAATATTTTGATGTAGTAAACATCGAACCAATCTCGTCTTCGCCTTTTAACCTGATGCTATCATTGAAACATACTGGTAAGCAGTATTTTACTGGATCATGTCAAATGACTTATCATTACTAACAATAAATCGTACCTTCCTGTATTGTTCTATGATTCAATGTTAGACGATTGCTTAAAACATGCCTGCAAACTCTCGTGAAAATCTAAAAGTACAAAAACAGTTTTTTCTAATTGTCTCCCAGTTAAAAATAACCATTGACTCCAATTAGGACATTCAATTGGAACCAATTGAAGTCAATGGAATTCAATTGGTTCTTGGTCATCCAACTGGTCATTCTAATTAGTTTCAATGTTTCCAATTGGTTACACCAATTAGGACCAACAAAATTCAATTGGCACTGGGCCACCTAATTGGTCACTCTAATTGGATTCAATGTTTCCAACTGGTTACCCTAATTAGTACCAACGAAATTCAATTGGCACTCAGCCACCTAATTGGTCACTATAATTGGATTCAATGTTTCCAACTGGTTATCCCAATTGGGATCAATAAAATTCAGTTGGCACTGGGCCACCTAATTGGTCACTATAATTTAATTCGATGTTTCCAACTCGTTATCCCAATTGGGATCAATAAAATTCAGTTGGCACTGGGCCACCTAATTGGTCACTCAATTTGATTCAATGTTTCCAACTGGTTATCCCAATTGGGATCAATAAAATTCAGTTGGCACTGGGCCACATAATTGGTCACTCAATTGGATTCAACGTTTCCAACTGGTTATCCCAATTAGGATCAATAAAATTCAGTTGGCACTGGGTCACTTAATTGGTCACTCTAATTGGATTCAATGTTTCCAACTTTATGTTTTCAATGTTTCCAATTGAATTTTATTGATCTCCAATTGGGATCAATAAAAGTCAATTGGCACTGGGTCACCTAATTGGTCAAACCATTTAGACAGAACTTGCCATTATCTCTTTATCCTCACCACAAAGTTTCCAAAGATCGCAATTTTTTTTTCAGTATTGCGTTGCAATAAATTTTTTTCAATATTGCAATTTGAAAGAGGGAAAAATTCGTACGCTATTTAATAAAAAAATAATAATAAAAACGAAAAAAAAAGAAAAAAAATCTGTTGCTCGAATTAGTCGGAATTGCCGGCAGCGTCGGTGTACACTGGGCGGCAAAGATGCGCCGCGAGGACGGTGGAGGCATGAAGCACATGGCGACGATGGCGTGCACGGCATTCGTAGCATGGTTCTGGCAATGATTCAAGAAAGTTCTTTTGTGTTTTACTGCTGCAGAGTGCTCAATGGTGCGGTGATAATTACTTCATTTGAGCTGCCAGCTTGTTAGAGCGCGAAGGATTGGCAACAAACGTTTATGGGAGCAAGGTAAGAAATTTTCTTTGTCCTTGCTGCGCTGCAGTTTGGGGATTTCGGATTGTTAGACCTGCTGAGACACTCGTTGCTTGATCTTAGTGAACGATACCAGCGTGAATGTATAGCTTTAGAGAAGAACATTTTCCGGCCAGCTATCAGTTCGGAAGTTGTTGGGTATCTGCGAGGAAAGTTAAGTGCGTTTTAAGCATCTCAAAACGAAACTATGAATTGCTGAAAACACTGACTGGGCAGTTTCAAAAATTGAAGCTTTGGGATTCAAAATGAAGCAATTTTGGGGAAATTTTCGATGAGTGCGAAGTGGGGTGGGGGGGTCGGTCGGTTGGTGATGTCGGGTCATTACCTCCGGATGTTAATGACTTCTTAATAAAATAACAGTAGTTGCCGAAAATTTTGCATCTCATCCGGCGGACTATTTGCAGCTATGTTTCAAAATTTACTCTGTCTCACTCAGGGTAAGTTCAAAAACCTACCCGCGTCCAGCGTTGCCTCTGATCCATTCAAGTAAGATTTGGAACACAGCCTGCAATGCATGATTTCTTTTCGAGATACGAAAGACACTTATATTTTCACGTACCCAGGCACACTTTAAGCATTTTTCAGGTGCGCTGGCCAGCTTTACAGAGATGCCTTTGATTTGACTGTTTTTTCTCTTTATAGCAGAGAATATGTCTCACAGGCTCATAGGAAACTTAGTAGTCTTAAACCATCCCAGATGCAAATTTAGCCCAGTCTCGGCAAAAGCTTCATCTCCTAATTTTGACCAGTGTTTCAGTCACCCAAAGATGTTTGCCTTTTAATGCAAGGCCTGCAGGTTTATACCACGGCAACTAATTTCTTTGCAGCGAAAAAAAATGTTTAGTATGTTTCTAAGCTTGATTTAAACATTTATAGTCCCATAAGGTCATTAAATGCATATTTATCCTTTATTTTAAGGAAGCTGCAGCTGCTATCCTGGAAGAAAACGACGATGCCTGGAAGCAAGAAACCATTTCTAATAAGTTAAATAAAGACTGTCGTGATTATGTACCTTAAGATCTAGTTGCAACTTTTTCTAGTTTGGAATATCCAAACACTAACAGTTGTCCCAATTCGTATCTGTCAATATGATTTAAACAGTTGGACCAATTGCTTTTTTCCTTTTGGGAGTCCGAAAACAGAAATAGGTTTTTCCAATTGGTTGCATCCTATTGACAATGCCGAACTGGTTCGAATTGGTGATGTTCAATTAGATTTCGACGATTGGAACCATTCAACTTTTTCTAACTAGGAGTCCGAAATCACAGATAGGATTCCCCATTGGTTCTAATTGTCGATAACTAATTAGGACCAATTGACTTTTTCTAACTAGGAGTCCGAAATCACAGATAGGATTCCCCATTGGTTCTAATTGTCGACAACTATTTGGAACCAATTGACTTTTTCTAACTAGGAGTCCGAAATCACAGATAGGATTCCCCATTGGTTCTAATTGTCAATAACTAATTGGACCCAATGGTTAATTTTAACTGGGCTTTTAAATTTTATTACGATATTACTAACAACAAAAATATTACATGGTAATACAACCCATGAGATATGATTTATGTTAACAATTATTAGAGTGATTTATATTTGGGCAAGAACGTTCCTCAAAAACAGGAATAAATTGTACCAAGTCACTAGATTTCCTATCATTGTGAAGAAGACTATTTAGAAGGAGTAATATAAAATAAAACAGTAAGATCCTTATTTTTAATCAAATGCGTGCACAATGTCTTGGTGTATATATGTATGTGAAAATTAACATAGTTAAGGCAAGGGTGCAGGTAACTGCAGCCTATATTCCATAATCCTGAAGTGATAGAATCGACACTCAACAGGTGTGGACCAGGCCATTCTTTCCCCCCTTTGAGTATTGTATTTCAACATATGTTTTCAAGGTGTTCAGTATTATCAATAGCTCACATATCAGAATAAATAACCACATTCACCTTTTCGTGGTATTCCCTAAGGTTTCCCCAAATCAGGTTTGGTTTGGGTCCAGGAATTCCAATGTCTTTGAAGTAAGAAAAGGTCTTCTGTCTCCATCTGTAAAACAGACATTTAATACATATCTGGTATTTATGTTGATCTTGCATTTTTCATTGCCCAATCAGGCGTTCTTAAAAAATATTTTGAGTGAGAGTTTATTGATGATAGCTTGTCAGCTCGGCTTCGATAACCTTCGGGATAACATATAGAATTATTTTATTCTTATTCTTATCTATTTTGCTTTCGTACCAGACTAAGATCAGGCCATAGGCGTAAAAAAAGCAATGCCTCTGCAGAGTGTTTCTTACAAGGAGGGTCAAACGTTCCCTGAAAAAACACTCACAAACAATTAAACATTTGTCGTCTCTGGGCACTTTAACATATCCTACATATTTTACAGTTCAGAATTTCTAAAATTATTGGATATGTTCAACTAGCATGTCGGTGGAAATGGCACCTGTTTTTGGTGTATATTGAGATAAAGAATATGGCCAGCGATTTTATAAAAAATTGCATGACACAAGCCTACAGACATTTGTATTATTAGTTTACATAAATAAAAAATAGTACATGAAGTCATCTACAGAAATTGCCTAACCAAGAAAATGAAAATAAGACAATTACTACGAACCTTTACTCACTATACTTAAAGAACAGCTGAGGAGAGTCGCTTCTTTTTGATGCGAAAACAACTGAAATCTATGCTAGACAAGGAATCATCAATATCGACACGGGGGTTATTTTTACAAAACCTTTTCATGCGCTAAAGTTTTCTGTAAAGTGCTACATTTATGAACCTTTTTCATTAAATAAAATTCCATACTACTAAAGTGTTTTCTAACAAAGTTAGATTAATACTCATTTCGGCCATAAATCTCTTGTTTATATTTTTCTCGTTATCGAGCATCGTCACCACGCGATTGCAGCGCCAAAATTTTTGCCAATCTTCTCAACATATGTTGCGTAATAAACCCCAGCATACAAAAGAAATCGTGCGGCAAACAACTGCAGTAAACATTGGACGAAGAAGAGGGTTCGCGTTCTGGCGTACAAGTGTCTTAGACATTTTGCCAACAGCAGGTATCTAATGTCAATGCTTGCTACATCTTAACTGCTAGAAATCTACGACATGATAAAATATTCTCAGTAAAAAGGTTGCCCCTCCTACAATTTATCTTATCGACCGATGAGTACCGAAAGCTGGCAACGACCCTCGCCGAATATTTGAAGAGAGTCAGAGAAACAACATTTGCACTAGTCATATTTTCACCCAATATTTCGTGGTTTATTCATACATTTAATATTAATATTGTTGCGTTTGAATACATCAAGGAATATATAAATATCAGTTTGTGAACTGACATTTCTTCAAGCGATTCTTCCGACCTTGTCAAACAATTTGCAAGCCAATGATGGCTGTTCACCAAAGGTAACTGACTAATTAATTTCTGATACATCAGTGCGCTCAGCATGTTAAACAACTTTTATTTTATCTGCAGTGCCGACGAAGTGCAACAGAGTTAGCGCGTGCAATCTATCACATACATTTCAACTATTTTTTGTCAAAAACAAAAGGCTGCTAGCAAAATTGCGAGAGCTGTGGAATACAATAGTTTTACGCAGAAAGTTTGAAGGAACAATTTGGTTCTAATAAATCCACGCAAAATTAAAAAAAAGAGCACAGCTTTTCTTTTCACAAAACGTTTTGCGCAGCGTCTGTGGCTTTACTAAGTTGACATTAGTTATATAGCTGCGGCACAGTAGATTATATTACGCATATCGGCACTAAATTTTGCGCTTAACAGCGTTTAAGTTAAAAACGCAGTTTTTTCAGTTATTAAATCACTGATTAAAATTTAAATTTTATATAATTAACTTGTAAGTCGAGTCGAGTCCACGAATTAGAAGTATTAGCATATCCATCACCATCAACCGCAGCATCACACATATCTTGTGCAAAAAAGCTGTTAATATTATTATGTTCAACTTTGGACATGTCCCTGTATAAGGCGCTTTTCTTCTTTTTTTGCTCTTTGTTTAGCACGCAATTCACGAAATTAGTCATTTATTTACTATAGAAAATTGGATCATCATTCGCGTATATTGTTCCATTTCGCTGTAATACTTAAGCTAATTAATTTAATCTTTAACATTATATTATTTTAAGCACTGACTTACTATAGGGCACAGTTAAATTTAGATATAAAAATGATCTCGAAATTCCTAAGCATTCCTCTTTAATGTAACTAGAACTGCCCTATTTTTGTACAACTTTTCCAAATGCCAAAAACTATTTTAGTTTATAATTTATTTAAATAGTATAACATATAATTTTAGACACATGTCTCAAGAACATTTGTCAAGCCATTTTTATTTCAATGCCTCAGCTTATTAAAAGAAAATGCGAGATGTTATACCTCTACACTCGCGATATTTCCATGAGCGATCACAATCACATTTATACACTGCAGAACTATTTCAAGCCGATATATTTACAGATTAATATAATTACTTTATTCCAAGCTTGTTACCTCTGATGGCACAGGTAGAACATACAGGGTGTGTCCGCGAAAAATAGTTTACAGCGCTTTGTCACCTCAAGGGAAAAACCTACGCGACGCCGAATGCTCACGGCCTGCCTGAATGTAGTGCTAGCAGTACGGACCAGATTTAGCAGTTTCAAACTAATATATTATCTTATTCCAAAGTAAGAGCACATTTTTGACATTTAAATGGGAAAATGATGACAAAACGAAGCCCACAAATACAGGGAGCTGAATGCCGTCAGCGCGAGATCACCCCCCATTTCCGAATAAAATTTCAGAAAACCATTGGTAACGCTTGAACAAGATAATTGTTAGTTTTTAAACTTTGACGTCTTGTCCGGACCGCCAGCGCTTTGTTTGGGCGGAGACAGATTTTTCCGATGCGCAGTTTAATTGGTGCGGTGAAAAATTACTTAATATTTTTCGGGGATACGCTATACTTCTCTAACTGCAACAACTAATTCCCTCGGAGCCTTTAACTCTTTCCTGAACGCGCACATAAGCCATCGATCACCGGTTATTGAAGGTTTCCAAGCGGCGCCAAGAAATTAAATTTATTGCGGAGAACTTTGTTCCACAATACCGTAAATAGCCGATGTACTCTCGTTTCAATTTCATTTTTGGTTTGATCTTAATGACAAGCTGGTGGGTTGTCAAAAAGAGTACCGCAAACGGTGGTTGCACTTGTATAACATGGCTAACTGCTTGCATCAGTCTTCGTCACAAAAAGGGCATTATTTACATAATTAACCTGTATTCTGGCATATCGTATAAACCTCAAGAGCTTTGGGGACAATTTAAATGATGCTATAGACGTTACTATACAGATATTTGTCGGTAAGCATCACTATATATTCCAATGCTCGTCTGAGTCGACGTTTACGTTTGTACGTTTTATGTTCCCATGGACAGAAGTGCTAAATATAAAGCATCTGCAATCAAGGCTACGACAAAGCCAAAGTATAACAAAAAGAAAGCATTCTGCTGAGGATGTGAGGTTTACTAACTGTCTTTAACTAATATAGACATTCCTTCATTGAAAAGCGCTCGTGTTACGGAAACTATCTCTCCGACGAACCAAAAATAGACAACATCAGTTAGATTACACTAACCTTCAGAAGTAATAGCTGTAAGTGTGGGGCAAATGTTCTGTATTTTGAACTTTTCTTATTTGTTGTTTAATTTGACAATGCTGTAGAAATTTCTGCATTCATACGTTTTCGGCACATACAATGTACTTTCATGATATAACATTTTAAAATATTTTTTGCGCAATATACTAACTTCTGTTCTTTTGAAAGAACAACTAATTGGCCACATGTTTATATGTCATAATGCTCCGCACGCAAAATAGAAAAATAAAAACGTTTGCACGAATACTTCGTCGTCAGGAAAGATTTAAGGATAAATGAATCAATGAATGAACGAACTCACCTTAAGAGTATGATTCCAAGAATGATCAGAACGGTAAACAAGGCAGCAACGGCATACATCTTTTTTTTTTTTTTGCCAGCACTTCAGGTTTTAGGACGAGTACACCATGAAGGCAGCAGGTGTTTTCTATACCAACCTGCAGGAGACTGGATTTAAAGGCGACTGAAGGAGTCTCTTATCAGATATAATTTATCACTGCGTCCATTCAACCCGTTTAATCTTGAAAGGTACCCGGCGCTGAGCTCGGGACAAAGATTCCTGCATAGCCGAGAATCCCGAAACGCAACTCGAAGATATCAAGATTATCTCTTTTACCGAATGTTATGTTGTTCGGGACCGTCGGACGCCAATTAGGATGGACACTTTCTTACCTCAGGCTTTGCCTTCGTATGTTTAAATACGTTTGAGTGTTTGTAGACTCTGGTTAAAATATATGAAAACTATGTTTGCTGGCGTCTTTCAAAAGTCGCAAAGTTTTGAAATCTTCGAGAAAATCTAGCAAAGCATGCTTCTTATATATTTTCAGAAAAGATATTGCTGGGCCATTTTACGCCAAACGTCCCAAACGTTGCGCTCGACCATTTCCTATAAATATAAATCATGGCTTTTTAATGCAATGTTCTTAACCTGTTCCTTAAACAGTTTTATTTAAACAGCCGAAAAATTTGTTAGTTTTTCCTGAGCGTGATTTTGACATTTAAAATGCCTGTAAAACAAGGCACCATTCAATAATTCAGCGAACTACGATCTTTTCTTAAATGCGTCACACTTTCTTTTATGAAATTCAAACGGCTTTTAGCTAGTTACGTTTGATGATTACACATTTTTTATTGTTAACGTATTTTTTAATTAAACAAAATTATAACATAGAAAAGTTCTCAATTTCTCGTTTAAATATCGCTTGGCGCCTGGCAATTATTAGTTATTATATTGGGAGCCCTGCAGGTTTATTAAAAACGAAACATATTTGAGGCCGTACAACTGAATTTATTAAATCCAGTAAGAAAGCTTAATTCAATCTCATTATCCCACAGAAAAAGGTCTGTGTGATTAAAATTGTATTATAGCGTCTTTCATAATTACATCGGCATAAATAAAGCTAACTATATGCTGCCTCCCCACTTCACATCAGGAAGATCCTTAAAAAGAAGTGAGAGAGTACCCGTGTAGAACGGATGTATTTAAAACCTCCTTTATTTCCATCTACAACGGCTGACTGGAACTCTCTAGTCTACCGGAATACACGATCATCATCCCGTATAACACTTTGTTCTTCGATAATGTCTTAAATGTTGACTTTTAAACTGATGCGAATCTTATCATTCTCATGGCACTGTTCAATTGAGTACGATACGTAATTACTACAAATATGCTTGTGCGCTCTGGTTATCGTGCCCTGTGTTTTTGTAGATTTGCTCATGTTTTCGCATCGCTCCCTCCCAATAATACCTTTTTAAGAGCTTCAAAGTAACCTGAATAAATAAATAAATATATATTTAAAGAGAAAAAATTCTAAATTTGTGAAAAAGTCAGTTTTGCCACCTAAACAGCCGGTTTGCCCTAAGGTGGTCCAAGTAAAAAAAAAAAAAAAAAATAACGACTTTAGAAGAATAGTTTATTGCTTTTTATTTCTGAAAGATTAATCAGAAGGACTTTCTTTTCTAAAGCGAGAAAAAATATTGCATTTGCGCTCCCGCGTCGCAACCTGGCATTGTTTCTTACGGCCTCTTCACCGCACAACATGCCACCTGGCAGGAGAGCTGACAGGAGAGCTGAGAAGCTTTGAGCACACGCAAGGCAATTTCTGGTCGGGACTGCGATTTTCGCAGAGGGTTCTACGCATGCCCATTCTTGACTCTCAAATGCATTGCGTATTAATTCACTGTTTACAGTTAAAGACACGCCGCGGTTTGCCGCAGCCGCTTCCACTCGCCCTTTTCGGCTGTAAACGCAAACAACGGCGGATATGGTGTGATAATCGTACTTGCCGCCACTGTATAGAAGGTTCGCTGCTTCCTTTGTACCGGTGTCAACCCTCCTCACTCCGAACTTTGATGCCTAACGGCATCGGCATCACCTGACTGGGACTTCTCCTATTCAGGAAACGCGATAAAGATAGAGTGAGACTGGCGTTTTGAAAGGAAAGGACTGACGTTATGAACGGGCGGAAAAACGTGAGGTATTGTTTCCAACGACTACTGACTAGTTGCAATCGGGGATTCCGCACTAGAAAGTTCATTGTTTGTCGGAGCATGGTGCCATATCGAGGAATGAAGCAGGTCACTCGACACATGCGAGTCATTCTGCGGTTGTGAGGATGCTGATAAGGGTAAGTAAAAAATTCTGATTACTTTATTAAAAAAAATGCTTGGGAAAGTTGTCTCCTGTTTACTCATCGCTAATGTGTCAACTGACGGAGAAAGATCGAAGTCTCCGTTCTCCTCGCTCAAGGCCCTTGAGCGAAAAGAAAGGAGCCGTCGATCAGTGTCCGTCAGGTCTTGAGCATCAATGGGAGACCTCCTTTGGCCTGCGTGATTTTGTGACTACCACTTGCACCGAGAGAGCACGTTAAGAAGCCCAGCTTTTGCTAACAAACCAGAAAATTCGATGGCACGCGCTACACATAAAAGGAAGCACGCTTAAATACTCGCACGATTTGAGCAGATGAAGGTCAGGTCTTTCATGACTCAAGACAAACCAGCATATTTAGCCGTAAACATCTTTTCGCGCTGGTTTAGTGGCAGGCAAGAGGCGAATCAGGTCAACTCATGATAAATCAATGCACTGTTACATATTTCGCTCGGATAGACCTCACAAAACATAACAAGACGAACAACATAGAGCTTGAATACTTCGTACCGCCTAGTTGGTTTGCGAAAGACAAGGGTTGAACCGCTGGAACTAAAGAAAGCGGGTGACCAACTAGCGACGAGTAAACTGGACAGAACTACCCTTCTATAGTCCGTTGCAACATAAGAACGAAGGGCAAGGGTAAGACGGGCCGGGGAGGAGGAAGCAGACGGAACGCTAAAGAGAGAAGGAGGTTCCCCCTCTCTTCTCCAGCGTTCCGTCTGCTTCCTCCTCCCCGGCCCGTCTTACCCTCGCCCTTCGTTCTTAGGTTGCAACGGACTATAGTTTAGAAAATAAAACAACCCGAATTTTCTATTTACCGTCATCAGCAATCGCACGAGGCGAGAAAAATGACTTGCCTGTGCCGAGTGACCTGCTTTATCCTATATTATGTCACTGTAATCCGACGAAAAGAAATATTGGTGAGATTCCCGATTGCAACTTGTTAGTGGTCGTTCATAGCAATACCCCTTGTTTTTCTGCCCTTTTTTACCTCCGGTGTTTTCTTTTCAAAACTCCCGTAGGGATCTCTATCGTTATCGCGCTTCCTGAGTAGAAGTCCGCGTCAAGTAATGACTCGACAGCCGTTAAGCCGGGCTCACACTGCTTACACATCACACGAAAGGCAGTCTGGAGACATTAGTAACGGCCATATCCATAATTCGAATGCCGCGTGCCAAGTTTCTCCTTGAATTTGTTGCCATTCTGCATTCGAATCAAGGATGGCATGGTGGCTTCCGTTCGAATCAGTGTTGGACAAAATATTCGATAAAAAATTTAAGCAAAGTTACTAAATACCTGCAGCATAAAGTATTTAAAATACCATTCAAGTTACTTTCTCTGTAAAGTATCTTGAGTGGAATAAAAATACTTAGAAATGTAACTCAATTAGTTTTGAAGACACTTCCACATTGCGTAATTTGTGTCGACGTTAGTGACAAGCACAATTATAGTTTCGCAACTCTAGTTTACAAGAATGGTTTATTAGCACGTAACAACCCAAAACGACCAAACTATAGTAGGGCTATTTTATGCACTCCAACTATAAGGAGCAAAATATCACTGATACATGTTACAAAACATTTCTGGGACAAAACAAAACGTCGCTTTAGCTATACGCAACTTTCACGGCCTATAAGTGGCGCGATGGTGTCTATCAAGATGGCTGTTACCTATATGATCGTCGCAGAACAGCAGTGAGAAACGCGTTCTGCGACGCGTAATTAATTCTAGTTTTGCTTCATACGAATAGCCTTAGTTTATTTCTTCCCGCCTGGAAGTATAGGCAATCACTTTTTCTTGTGAAGCCTATCATCTAAGAGCTAGAGAGCGCGATTTTCACACCGCGGTGCCAACATCGCTGAGAGTTGCGAATAGTGACATCGCTGAATATCACGTCCTGCGGCGCACCTTAGACGCAGTTTTTAACTGCAATCCATATTCCCTATATGGGGAGTTTACTATAAACGAACTTGGTATACGGAAATGAGTGAATGGATAACAAAGAGAGCTAACATAATAACCACGTCACTCGTCGCAACTTCTTCAAGTAAGTTGCGTTCAGAAAGGCTCTCAACGTTGGGGGACGCTTTGTTGGCATTTTGAGAGGTCATCCTGTTCGCAGTTCGTTTCCTGTTTGCTTATCAATGTTCGCTTACAGACAGTGTTCGCGAGAGCAATAAGTGGCGGACTGACGTCAAAAATAAAGCGGAGAAAAGAACCTCGGCGTTTTGCCGTAGCGAAATAAATAAAAAAAAAAAGTCTTAATTTCGTGTTCGCTTTGCATTTGCTTCTATTTGTTATTTCCTTGCCACTGAAGTGCGCGTTGTTGTTGTAAGTCGTTTCCCGTTCTGCGTTGCGTCTCAGTGTGGCAATCTTAACTTCCTTAAAACCACCCCTGCTGCTTGAGGATTTTTTTTTGGGAGAAACTCTAGGAAACAAAAGGCGTCTTTGTGAAGGCGAGGCGAAAACCTTCATTGCATGGACTTTGGGGTGAAATATGAGTCACATTCGGCACAAAAGTGATGTTTCCACAAGCTCAATCTAGGTCACCGTAGCTTATCGGAACTAGCAACATGATTTGGTGGCTCGAAAGAATGTTCACGTTTGCTCGTGCCACGCACACGCCACTACTGTTCTGCTCTGCACGAAGGTTTCATGAGCGCTGTGTGGAACAGGACTATTGATTCGGGGGAGGCGGTGTTTCAAAATTTTGCAAATTAAAATTTTTTAGCATGGTTGGACAAGCGG